GGAGGACAGGTAGGGAGCCTGCGGGGTGGGATGGGTCGGGCAGCTGAGACTGTTCATCCTCTCATTTGGTGACTGTCCAGGGCGGCCAGGGCTCACAACCGCATTGCATTCCCTTTGCAAAACGAGGCCAACCTGGAGATCTCAGCAGGAGGGAGCCCTTGAACAGTCTAGCAAGGGCTCAGGGCCACCAGGAAGGGCTAAGAAAGCTCGGACACCAAGCAGAGCCCTCCCAGGTAGTGAGCAGTAGGTGAGACAGTATATTCTCCAGTGGGCAGTGTTCCTGGTCTTAGACCTCAAAAACCTGTGAAATACCCCAGCCCCCCCAACTGTCAGGAACTGCAAGGATGAGAGGGACCTGGCCCCTTCCACAGCTTTCTGCCCTCACCTGTTCTTCACGTGTTGGATCAAGTCTAGAGGCAGCAACAAGTATCTGTCCAACTGCAAGTCTTCCCGTAAAGCTTCCTGGGGCCTGCGCCTGTGGGCAGGAATGGGTCATCCAGGCTCGGTTCTCACAATTTTTAAAAATGCCACACTTTGCTACCCTGCTGATGCACACTGCTTAGAATTGGTGATTTCAGGTCTTTTATTTCAATCTTTATGGTTTTCAATCATCAAAATCCCTGTAGATGTTACTTATTTCTTGATCAGCACCTTCTCCCATTTCCTCAGTGGTTAAGATAAACATCAGGCCTCTCTCTGAGCCCCCAGATCCCACGCCTACCCTCGCTCTCAGTAAATGCCTCACCTACTTCAGGAAAAAAAAAGAATCACTATTAATTTCTTCAACTTTCCATCTTCAAACCTACAAACTCGGCCCTCACCACAGCCCAGCCTCCACCTGTCTGGACTCCAGCCTCAACGAGGGGAGGGCACTCTCCTCCTGTGTGGGGGTTGACCCCCCACTGTCTGTCTTAATGATTCCTGTCCACCTCCAATACCTTCAGTAGCAATACCCTGCTTAGACCAAAGCCTCCTGTCCATCCCATGGAGTTCTCGTTCCTAGTCTGCAGCCTCACAGGGCCTCCAGTCTCTCTACCCCTCCATTGTCTCCCAGCATCTCAGCCCTCTCCCTGCAGCTTTTTTCCTATTCAGGTGGGACCCTGTGGGTCATAATCTGAGCCACTCTCTCATCATAGCCCAGATTCTCTTGTGTTCCTGGCTTTCTGCCCAGCAGAACTCCTACCTGGATTCACGCTCTGATCTGCCTGTGCAGCATCCCCTCCTCCATGCTGCCCACTCCCCGGCCTCGCTGAGAGCTGCTGACAAGTATCATTCCAGAGCAGAATGATACCATCACATGGTTGGCTTCATCTGAGCTCTCAACACCAGCCATTTCCTTGTCATTGGTGAGCTCCTGCTTCCGTCCTGCCCAACAGTGATTCCAGAATGTCCCCTCTTTCCTCAAGCCTCCCCTTCTCCCTGCCATACCTCTGAGAGGGGATCTTCAGCTTCCCAGGCCCCTAACTACAAAGTTATCTTCTGTCAGGAACTGTGAAGGGTCTGAGATTTACCCTACATGCAAACTAACAGGTCAGCCTGCTGCAGTTTTATGGATGCTAGCAGGAGACATGAGACTTCTGGGTCAGAGAAAAACGACTTTATTACTCAAGGCACAGCAAGCAATGTAGGCTTCATGATTGTGTCACTCCTCCTTGCCCCTCAAGCCCCAGGAGGGTGAGGCAGACATTATCTATTATACTGGACAGTAAGAAAATCTGCCCTCTGCTCCAGAGGGGACACTATCTTTATTTCCAAGGCTGTTTGCAATACCAACCTTCTTGAAACGATAGTCTGGAACAAAAAGGCAGTTAGTGCCTCTGCTCACAACATGTGCAGAAGTGCAACAGACCCACTGAGAACTGTCTCCCCACATATTCCTGCACACACATCCTCACCTGCATTCCTCCAGGCTCGCCTCCTCCAGCGAAAGCCAGCCTCTCTGCTGTGTCCTCCCACCTCTTCCAGCCTTGCTTTGGCAGCCATCTTCTCTCCCTCTGCTGGGTCCTTATCCCAGTTTATGGACGTGCCCCCAAATGTCTCAGCTTAAAAAAGCAAAGCAAAAACCTCTGTTTGAGCTGGCACTCTTCTTGTTGTTGGTGCTGTCGAGTTGACTCAGACTCCTAGCAACCTTGTATACAGTAAAGCTGAACCCTGCCAGGTCTTTTTGTGCCATCCTCTCACCTTTCAGCGCTGAATCAGACGATGCTCTGATGCTGTTCATAGGGTTTCATGACCAATTTTTTCAAAAGTGGGAAGCTCTGCTGAAACCTGTCCACCATTGGTGAGCCTGCTGGTATTTGACATACCAGTGGCACAGCTTTTAGCATCACAGCAACACACAGCCACCACAGTATGACAACTGACAGACAGGTGGCATGAAACGAACCTGGGCCACGGCAGACACTTTCTTAGCTACTCTCTTTTCTTTTCATCTGAGTTCTTGGTAGGGGAAGTCTGTGCTGTCTCTGTTTCTCTCTGCATCTAGTTCCTTTACCTACTGTGCCACTGAAACTGTCCCCACTGAGGCCACCAGGGGCCTTCATCATTCCCAATGGAGCTGACGTTTTCCAGTACTAATCTTGCTACATCTGCTTCTGTATTCGAATTTGACAGTGTCCTCCTTGGGGCTACTTTTAGGTCTTTGTCTGTTGCATCCAACATCTGGCCACTCCCACAGGCAGGTCCTGCTGCCTGCCTTTTTCCAGTGTAAGAGTCATACTTTCCTGCTTCTTTGCTTGTCTCATAACTTTTTCTTGGAAACTGGACACTTTAGATAATATATTGTAGCAACTCTGGGTCCTGGTACCCCCACCCCCCAGCCACCCCGGCTTGTTATTTGCTTGTGTGTTTAGTGACTGGTTGGCTTACTTTAGTGAAGCCTTTCCCCCACTCACTTGAAGTGATAAACCCCTGATGTTGCTCTGCAGGGAAGTGCAGTTCAGAGGGGATATGCCCACCATCACCCTGGGATGGCAGTGATCTGGGCTAGGCTCCATTCATCTCTTTCTCTGACCACATCCAGCTATTAAGCTCCATTAATTGCCAGCTGATTGTTCTATCATTTACAGCAATGCTAAGGGGCATAAATTGCTCTACAGATGCAGGCTCCTTTGAAGGAGTAGCTCCTGAAGTTAGTATTCTGACCTCAGGAAGGCTCTTCCCAGCTGGCTCTTTCCCTGGTTCTCTCCTGCAAACTAGCTGGTTTACACTTTAGCATGTATCTTGAATCTACCCATCTCCTCCAAGTTCCCTTTCACAAACTCCAGTTTTTGAGAGCACCCTTAGGCTTGAACTTCTCCACTCTCTCTTGCAAATAAAGTCAGCTCCTTTGGGAAGAAATTAGGACCTATCTGTTTTATTTTATTTTTTATTTTTGTGAGGAAGATCAGCCCTGAGCTAACATCCGATGCCAATCCTCCTCTTTTTGCTGAGGAAGACTGGTCCTGGGCTAACATCTGTGCCCATCTTCCTCCACTTTATATGGGACGCTGCCACAGCATGGCTTGATGAGCAGTGCGTCGGTGCGCGCCCGGGATTCGAACCTGGGCTGCCAGCAGCGGAGCGTGTGCACTTAACCACTACGCCACGGGGCCGGCCCAGGACCTATCTGTTTTATAGCCTGCTTCTCTCCCAGGCAAAATCACCGAGCCAGGGCTCTGGGGCTGGGGTGGGCACAATGGTGTGCTTCTCTCTGAGTGATACCCCTGTTTAGGAGTTGAGCATTGTGGTAGAAGGGAGGAAGTAGCCTTAGGTCTTCTCAGCTTGCCTCTCCTGGTGTGGAACCACCACTTTATAACCCAGGTCGGGGATGACCAAGGCCTTAGTATCCTCAGTGACATCATGCCAAGGTAGAGTTTCCATTGCATGAGTTGTGGCTGAGCAGAAGAAGGGAGTCCTCACCTGTTGGCCACACTTGCTCAGAACTTAGCCTCAGCAACAGGTAGCTGGGCAGCCTGAGAAATCCTGATGTCCTGCTCCTCCCAGGAAGAAAGCCCTCTGACAGGGAGCTGAGGTCAGGGAGAGCCCTGTGTTCTTGGCTGCACCAATCTGGAGTGGAGTTTTTTTCTCACCGAGCTGGGAGTACGGAGAGAGGAAGCAGGTTTGGCTCAAATGCCACAGACTCTTATCAAATTTTAGTAGATTTTCTTGAATAGATATTCCTTCATTTGCTGTATACCCTTAGGACCATTTCCAGATACTTTAAATGGTTGTTTTTTTAAACTTTTCGCCAGTTTCACTGAAGAATGGGTCTGTGGAGTGCCTTATGCTGTCAGGTTGGAAGTCCATCTCCTGCCGTGGTCTTTAACTTAATGTTGGCTTTACTGTTGATTTATTATCTTAAAATTCTATTGTTTGAATCAAAGAAATTTGAATTTAAACTGGACATTCGGTGAATCTAAGGAATTAACTTTTTTAGGTGTGATAATAGTATTATGGTTATTATTTTAAAGAGTTCTTACCTATTAGTAATACATACTGAAATATTTTGTCAATGCAAATAATCCATATTTAATCTATAAATCAAAATTGGAGTGAGTTTATTATGAGCCAGGTCTGAGGAGTATAGCCAGGGGGGGCTTCCTTCCCCCCAAGGAAGGAAGCACACACCAAAGAAGTGGGGTATACATAGTGGTTATATACCGTCTTAGAAAAAAGAGCATATATCACATATGACAGGAATGTCCCTTTTGCTACTGTCACGAGATGCTTAGCTGGCACAGCAGGTCAGTGGTCACAAGGTGAACACAGCAGGTCAGTAATTAATCCTTACCTTTTGGGAAGAGATGTTTATCCTTAAAGAAATGCTGATATGGGGGGAAGCTACATCCTATCTTTAAGGGCATCGTTCATGTCTTTGGGACATTGTAAATGTTTAAAGCAGATGTACAATGCATGCTCAACAGGCCACGTTAGGGCTTTCTGGAAAACCAAAGTCAGGCTAAATTCATTTTAAACCACATGGCTTCCTCATATACTCCAATATATCCTATTGCTTTTCATCTGTGCATCAGTTTACATATGAAACAGTGTGATGCATGGGATTTGCTGAGAATAATCAAGTCTGGGCTATAAGTGGGGAGGGGATAGGGGATACAGATAAAGCAAAAATGGCTATGAGTTGATAATTATTACATTACTGTAATAATAATTATTAATTATTATTAATATGAACTGCACGATGGGAGTCCATTACACTATTCTTTCTGCATTTGTATATATTTGGAATTTTACATAATACAAAGTTAAATTTTTTCTCTTGTCTACATGTGAAATATACTTCATTAGATTTTTTAGATATGTAAGGTCATCATTAAGTTGAATTAAAATCTTGAAAAGTATGTACGCGTACTTTTCACTTAAGATGGACTCTGGATTATGGTTTTACAAAAGTGAGAGATCAAAACTCCAAGTACTCTGTGTTCTGAAACAATCTTGTGTAAGCATCTTTGTAGAAATATATTTTTACTAAAATCAATTTATTTTTCAGTATCTGAAATGGCATGAATTTCAAGCAAGTTCCTAATCAAAATTTATTAGATGTTCTAATTATGTATCAGAGGCTGGTTTTGTCATTTCAATCAAAGTCATTTTTAGATGATTAGTTATTTTATGGAAAAAAGCCATGATGAAAATTGTTCCAGTTGTATTTCAAGAATTTATCAAAAGACAAATTTATGCACTGAATTGAAGCTGAGTAGATACTGAGCTTGCAAAAAGAAAATACAGTTGATGACTAAATTTTGAATATCAGCTGGGATGTTCTGGATCAGTCGGAATATGGATTAGCACTTGTGATTCAAACAATTAGCGTCTAATGATTTTCAAGATCCAAAGGTTTCTTTTTGTATTTTTTTCTATAGACCTATTAGTGGGAAGCTCTTTTCAACCTCTTGAAAATGTCAATTTCTTGAAAAAATGTTATTTTGTCAGAAATGAGAAAGTAGTTCTGACAATAGGTAATTTATTTGCCTACTTGTATCACATAGTGCAATTGATAAAATTTTGCACAATTATAATTGGTCTTGGTAACAACAGGAAACAAAACTGTTAAAATTAAAGAACTTAAAACAATTTTATCATTCATCTCAATTGTGCTGCCATAATATGTAATGTATGTATTATAATCCATTAACTATTTCAAAATAAATCATAGTGATTTATTATTTTTCAGTCTATGATGCTTAAAACTGTCCACAGCAACTTTTTCGATTAGTTTGGAATCCAGATTGAACCCATTTGCCATCTTCATCCTAAATATTTTTCAAATCTGTGCTCACCTCTCCACCCTACTTAAGCCTCCCGTATCCACTTAGGTTACAACTGTCTTGTAATTCACCTCCCTGCCGCCTTCTGTCTTGTCCTCCCAAGTTCACCTTTCACTCAGCTGCCAATATGATTTATATAAAGTGAAGATCTGACCATATCTCTCTTCTGTTTAAAGTTTCAGTGGGTCCATATCACTGACAGTAATTTCTCAAGAGTAAGAACGCATATATAGGGAAGCCCTGCCCTCCAGTTTGAGAAACCCTGTGGGAGAAGTTAGTTCAAGTATGAAAGTTCAGGAGATTGCTAGATAACCATAAGTACAAATGTGGGCACTGAAACCACATGGAAATACTTCATTGTAGAGGTCCAGATGACCAAGAAGGCTGACATTAAACTTTTAAAAGAACATCATTAAAAATAAAAACACTAGACTAAACATTCCTCATGGCTTCTGGATAAAGATGACAGACTGAACACATGCATCTAATTATGTTTACTCCTGAAACCTCATTAAGATGATAATAAGGGGATTTTTTAAAAACATAAACCCACAAGGTTGAGGAGGAGAGGATTAGAGACCACAGCAACACAATTCTGGAGATTGAAAGCAGAAGGATAAGAGGTAACTGGTTTAGCATCTTGAGATAGCTGAATACTAAACTTCTAGCTGGGAGCCAAGAACCAACCCAATTTATACTATGGAAACTTCAAAAATGTCAGGAATTTTTGGCATTTTGTACCTGTGGAAATAGGATGAGAGGGTGAACGATAATAAGGATTGGTAGAAATCTGTTTAAGGTGGTTCCCTTCCACACACTCTTCAGCCACTTGACTGCCCCTCCCAACCCTGGCAAAACACCAGAGGTTGTGGGTTTTTTTTTTTTTTTTTTTTTTCCTGGAGAGTTAAATAGTCTTGGTCTGGAGGATACCAGGCGTAGTTGAAGATGTGGTATGTTAATGAAGTCAGGCATATTAAGGGAATTATGAATTCTGAATGCTTCTGGAAAGGAGGGCAAATAAGATAAATGGATGGAAAATAGGAGAAAAAATTATAGGGTAAATGTAGGAGGCCCAATGCCCAAATAATAGAAATTCCATAAAGAGAGAGAAAAATGAAAGGGTACAAATCATCAATGAAAGTCGTTCCATAAAATTTTCCAGCATTGAAGGACATGAGTTTTTAGAATGAAAGGGCCCACAATGCCCAGAGAAGATTCTACAAGATTCCAGAGAGAAAAATGGGTCACATGAAAAAGATCAAGAATGGCTTTAGATTTCTCAAAGGCAAAAGCAGAGGCTAGAAAGCAACAGAGCAATGCCTTGAAATCATGAGGGAAAACTATTTCCATCTAGAATTCTATACCTAGCCAAACTAATGAAGCAATGGAGGAATAGGCTTTTTCAGCATTAATGTCTTTAAAACTTTCCCTCTCTCCTACTCCTTTTCAAAAGGAAGCTACCAGAGGACTTGCTCTATGAAAATAAGAGTGTAAACTAGGAAGAAGGGCACATGAGGTAAAGAAAGGAGATGCAACACAGAAAAGAGTTGCCAGGGTGACAGTGAAAACATGGGCCAGGCGAAGAGGGCAACCAGGCCAGACTGCAGGGGGTCAGAAGCTCAAGGAAATATCTCTTCCCGAAAATAATGAAACTGGTGTGTGAAACAATCCCTGGTGTGAATAAACAGCTTGAATAGATAATTAGGCAACTGGCAGAACATTTGAGATAGAATTACTTACAACTATATAGAAAACAAAGCAAACCCCCAAATATAACAAGTATCAATGCTGGGGCAGAGTGACGGAAGTTGTGCAACAAAGAAAAAGTAATTATAGTTCATAACGTGGCCCAGCTGTGGATAGCATTTCTGTAAGTGTAATAATGTGAACGCTGAATTTGGAACTAACCAAAATTATGATACGATTAAGTTGGGAGGTAGGAGGCGTGCCTGTATGTGGTGGGGAGGTGTAGGCAGCCAAATCCTCATCTTCTGTGTGCATGTAATGCCTAAAACCAAAAACATAAGAAGTATCAATGTAAGCATGTAACTTAGAAGTTTGGAGGTAAATGCCAAAAGGCTCAGCTGGAAGATTTGAAAGTGGTTCACTCTGGGCAAGAGGAAATAGCAGGGGGAGAGTGGCTGGGGACTGCTGATTTTAGAAAACAAAATTCTTATGGGGAATGTAGAGGTTGAATTTTTTCCTCAGCCCCAGTGCCTGCAGAACAAGCCCAAACTCTGATGCCTGTCATTCAAGGCTGTCAATGGTCTGGACCTTGCCTACTGCTCTAGTAATGTTCCTGTCTTATATTTTCTACAACAGCATCACCTACCTTCTTGTAGGTCTCACACATGCGTTTTGTTCTCACACTGGCGCCCTTGCTTCTGCATGACTCTTTGCCTGGCTTGCTGTTTTTTCCTCACTCCCTGCAACCCCCACATGCCCCACCTTTTTTCTGCCTTCCTGTGGGCTATTTTATTTTTAGCATTCCATTTTTATCTATCTATACTGTTGTTGTTGTTTTTTTTTATGAGGAAGATCAGCCCTGAGCTAACATCCATACCAATCCTCCTCTTTTTGCTGAGGAAGACCGGCCCTGAGCTGACATCTATTGCCAATCTTCCTCCTTTTTTTTCACTTTTTCTCCCCAAAGCCCCAGTAGATAGTTGTATGTCATAGCTGCACATCCTTCTAGTTGCTGTATGTGGGACACAACCTCAGCATAGCTGGACAAGCGGTGTGTCGGTGCGCGCCCGGGATCCAAACCCAGGCCGCCAGTAGCGGAGCGCACGCGCTCAACCGCCAAGCCACGGGGCTGGCCCCTATCTGTAGTGTTTTGTGTGTGTGTGTGTGTGAGGAAGATCAGCCCTGAGCTAACATCCGTGCTAATCCTCCTCTTTTTGCTGAGGAAGACCTGCTCTGAGCTAACATCCATGCCAATCCTCCTCTTTTGTTTTGCTAAGGAAGACTGGCCCTGGGCTAACATCCATGCCCATCTTCCTCCACTTTACGTGGGACGCTGCCACAGCATGGCTTGACAAGTGGTGCGTCGGTGCGCGCCTGGGATCCGAACCCGGGCCGCCAGCGGCGGAGCGCACGCACTTAAGTGCTAAGCCACGGGGCTGGCCCGATTTTTGGTTTAAAAAAAAAAATTTTTTAATTTTTAAAAAAATTATCTTTTAAAAACATTGAGAAATGAGAGAAAATTATTTTATATTTATCATTTCCAAAATTCGTCCTTTCTTCTTGTAGATCCGAGTTTCCTTCTGGTGTAATTTCCTTCAGCCTTGAGCACTTCCTTTAACATTTCTTGTAGGGCAAGTCTGCTGGCTGTGAATTTTTTAGCTATGTGAGCTCTGGTCGATATTCAGCTCCTGGATCCTTGGTAGTTCTTCCTCTGGTGAATTTCCTTTGCTTGGCTTTGTGGAGACTTGCCCTACACTTGCTCAAGTTAGTATTCAGCCATAGACTCGAGGGAAGTCCTATCCAGATTTCTGGCACCTTTCCTGCACAACTACTTGTCTCCAGTACCCTGGCTTTTTCTTTCTTTCTGGTTTCTCAAGGACATCACTCTATGAATGAAAAGCTTACAAGTTAGGAGAGCCTGACTCTAGTCACTCTGATACACTGATTCCGTGGGAATTCTTAATGTTAGCTAATATCTCTCCTAGTCATTCATGGATTGAGGTGTCCTTGAAATGGTGGATGTTTGTGGTGTGTATGTATGGCTGTGTTTTAGTGGATACATACCAGGTACATACTTCCTTTTCCTTTCTGTCTTATGACCTATCTTTATTCTTTCCTATCTATTCAAGTTTATATACAGCCCAAAACAAAATATGTTCCCATTTATCTATACTCTAAATATCATAAAAACAAATCAAAATACTGGTAGAGAATTTATGACAACAATTTATGTTCAGAGTGAGAGGCACTTCAAAGTCCTAATGTGCAGCCTGAGTTCTTGGAGAGTTTAAATTATGTCGAAATTGCTTTACCATTCTGTACACCTTGTTGTATTCAAATTTGTTAACCTGCTGTTTAATGTTCAGCAGAAAGCAATGCCCTTGAAAA